GAAGAAGAATTTTAGCTTTATTCCTCCTGTACTTGTTGTTTAGTGTTTTGGCCTGGCATTTGTACCATATATACTTTATGAAGTATTTGGCTCTTCCAGATGATTTATATAAGAGACCAAGTGAGTGTTTTGTCTCTTTGTATAATTGACTAGCCAGGAACATGCCCCTAGCAAATATGAGGGTAAGTCCAACCTCCTTTAATGCAGGTCACTGCTTAGCTTGTGATGTGCAAGGTAAATTACTTACTGATTTACTTACTAGTGAAGTGGAAATACGTAAAAACTTTGATTAAAGTGTGGGATTTGACTTGGTTCGAGCCTTTGTTTTCAGCACAAAATTGAGGAAATTTTGCAAACATTTCTTTTTAATCAGGTATTGACAGGAATGTAACTTGACCAAATAGTGATATCAGAATGATAGCTTCAGTTGTGTTTTTCTTGGTAACAGTGGGGATGATATTCAGCTAAATTTGTGCTTGCTGCCATGACCTTGAATTTTTGTACAGTGTCAGTCTATGTGGCAACAGATATAAGCCTGTGTAGATGCTAAAGATACACGTTTTTGTAAACGGAATATTGGCGATTCGCGCAAGGTACACATTAGAAATCAATATATCCCTGAAATGAAAGACTTTCAGAGTTTTCTGTAACAGTATTTGAAGGTCAGTGACCATCAGGCTGTCTAACTTCCTAGCGGGGGGGGGGGGGAGGGGAAGGTCTGTACTGTGTGTGTTCGAAAGTCTTTTAGCATGTTTGGGAATGGACGTGCTGCCTTAATAAGGTCAAAAAAACTTGTCACGATTTGGCCTAGAAAGCCAAACAGGGATGCATCTGTATAAGTGGTTCTACTGAGCCTAATAGTTACCCTACCAGGATTCGTTTGATTGACTTCTGTCCCTTTTGTCGTGGTTCTGATAAGGGCAGTGATTCTCAGAAAAGGCCCTTTATGCTGCCATCTCAGGTACATTTGTATCTTGAGGGCAGCCTAGTGTAAAAACTTGATTGAAAAGGTAATGTGAAGCTGTGTAATATCCTTACGTGTATTAGAGCGCTTATTTGATTGGTCTTGGCTGCCACAGACTTGACCAGTTTGTTGACAGTCAGCAGCTGAGTTTGTATCTGTTACGTGTTGGGTTCCATGTGTTGTACGGAAGGTTGTTCTTCAGATTCACCGACTTGATTTTTATGGCTTTGGACAAATGTTAAGTTCTGTGAATTATAGCTATTGCCATGTGTCCTAAATTCCATACTTCACTTCAGTGAACTTGTTATTAAACGCTTGCATACTGATTGCAGGAAACTGCTTTCCGCAATCTTAATGCGGCATGGTCTCTAAATTTTTATCTGGTGCAAACAAACAGCCTGATGAAGACCACTCAGCCTTTTGTTCCTGTTAGCAGTGCATTAGGTTCAGATGTTACCAGGAATATGGTTTCCAAGTACTTGTCTGGTTGCATTTTTCATTGCTACTGTCTGTGCAGGCTGTAGCTTGAAAGTCATGTCAGAGCTCATTCTGGTCAAACCCATTCTCTTTATCCAGGCATTTCAGAGTAGCCACATGGTTTTATATGTGCTTGCTATAAATATTTGGCACCCTGAATCGGAGTTGTAGCTTTTTAAGTATTGGTAGCCATCCTTTTGTTTTGTGGAAGCCTTGAAGTTTTCCGCTTGTAAGTCTTTTGTTGAAATTTTTTTTTTTTCTCCTGACAATGGATTTGATATGGCTTATTTTGAAACCGCTTTGTAATTTTATTTACAAGGTCAGAAATCCAGTAGGACTAGATGTGTGAAAAGAAGGCATTGCCTGCAGGACTTGTTCTGTACAAGGGTCTGTCTTTGGGGATTAGAACGGCTGACCTCCTTGCTGAGTTTCATTTCTTTAACACTGGTAAATACATGTAGGTGTATATATTTTCCTTTAGGAGTTACTCATTCCTGGAAAATAATTCACTTAAAATTTGGGAGACCGTATGTCAGCACAATAAGTGTTAAATGATGCCCCAAGATGCCAAAAGGCATTGAAAAGGTAAAATTTGAGGGATTAATTTATGTGCTCTGTCTGGGAAATGAGCGCTTTAGGTGTAAATCTGTTGTCTATTTTTGTTAAATAAAAAGATGCATGCAAAAAGATGCATAGTTGTGAAGTTAGTCTGAAATGGAACATAATTGCATCCTTTTATTTTCAATTGCTTGTGGCTCAAGTCCTGTTACCAGTATACAACATTTGAATCCTTTCTTCCTGTATTTTTCCTGTCCGTATAAGATGCTTCTAAATTTCTTGAGGCACAAACCTGCGATCTTGCTTTCTCCAGCATATTCATCACTTGTTACCATCTTTTCTCCTGTGATGAGCCTTGCACCTGCATGGATTTAATCTTAAATATGTTCAGCTCCTTTTTCCCAGCTTGCTTGCTTTCCCTGCGTTTTTCTCTCCTCAATTTCCTTTTTCCCCAGTTTGTTTCCTTTTTGCCAAAGGGGGTAGTAGGTCTTCATCACTGTAATCTGAAAGCTATTCCTTGATGCTAGTTGCTTCTCCTAGCATCCTTGCTCTCCTCTAAGCGCTATTTTACAGTTGTTGAGTTTCCAGATACCCTTTTCCTGTAACTACTGTTAGCCACATTTTACAGTTTCTGTACTACCTTCCTCACCTTTGATATGTCAAGTGTTTTGAGTCCTAATTTTCAAAGTCTTTGACTGTTTGAACTTTGTTAGATTTTTGGCGAGTGCTTTTAGTGTCTTGGTTATGTATGTTTTCTCTTGTGGTGTTTTGAGTTTTTGTTTGTCTTTTAATGCAAGAGTCTTTCTTATATTTCTTTGGAGAGGTAATCTCCGATTTCCTTAGGTTCAGTGTTTGTCTTCACACAGGTTGTTTACTATCTTACGTGTTTAGTACGCTACTTGGTATCTCAGCAAGGTGCTTTAGAGAGAGGGAAAATTAGTATGGGATAAATTAAGGTCATTTGTTCCCAAACAGTCCTGTTCATTTCTCACTTGTGTTCCCAGTGCCTGGTAGGATACCAAAAATAGTCATTACAGCTCTCGTTCTTTCATCTCTTTGTCTTATGTACTGGGGCCACCTTCAAATTCTGCTAGCTACTTGCTCTGTCCACTTGAAAATGTAGAAGAGCTCTGTCAAGATCCTCTCTGTGTTCTGGGACTATTACCTCTGGCTTCCTGACAGCCACTCTTCTCTAATTCAGTCAGAAGGAGGCCAAGATGAAATTTTACTATCTTTTTTTTTTTTCCCCCTCTTTAAAGAGGAGACAGAGGAAAACTTTGTCCATCAAGAAATTCACCAGATGTATTGTAAGTCCTGTTTCCTCATCCAGAAATGAGATGAGGAGCATCTTGTTATTTATGGAGAAACAGTGACTTTCAGAAGTGACGTTCCTGGATTTCTATCAGCATTGATTGGCCTTTCAGCTCAAACATGGACTCCTTGTCTCATACCTCTTTCTAACCTCCCCTTCTTGAAAAAAATAAAGAAAAAAAAAAGGCAAATCTGGGAAGGCTGGAAGAATCAGAAGAGGAATTGAAATCCCTGGGGAAAAAAAAAAGTGACTGAATGATGTGAAGAAGGATTGCCTCCTAATTGGTTCTCCTTCAGAGGTTCCATCTGACAGGTCTGCTCTGCTGGTGTCTTGACCCTGTGCTTACACGGGCCTCAAATGTTTATGTGAGGAGTGCCTGCTGGTGCCTCCCAGCAGGAGTGCCTCCTTCCTGTGGCAGCTTCATGTGTGCGTAAAATCAGCCACCAGCGCAGGAGCTATGTAGAAGAATAAACGCTAGAGTTCCTTCCTTTCCTTTTATGCAACTTTACAGCAATTGCAATGAGTTGCTGAACTACAAAGTAACGTTGTTAAGTCATGGGAGAATCCTTCTCTTCAGGCATCCTGAGAATACCCTGTCTTCTCCTCCTTTTCACTTCTGTTAGGAAGCTTGACCATTTCCAAGATGTTCTCCTTCACCCTTTCATGAGCATCACAGACCTTTATTTTTGCTCTCATACAATGCCCGTGAGTTGTGGTCAAGAACCTTTACACACTGCTGTTCTCCTGTTGTGCTTTTTTACAAAGGCAGACAGAATTCTCCATCCTTGGCCTACCTCAGTCCCCAACCACCATATACGTTACCCTCAAAGGATATATTGTATATGATGGGGAAAAAGCTGTACTTTTTTCTCTCCAAGCTATTTCCGCATCCTTTTTAAATGAAGCTTTAAATGAATCTGTCATAAAACAAAGTTAAAATTTCATGATGTTACTCACCTTTTGGTCCTTTCTGTCTGTTACCCTCTCCTTTCTGCTGTTAGTCAGTTGTTGCATTACTTCATTAATTGTTTTACACATTTACTCAGTAATTATACTTTACTCCTTATGAGACTTTGCTGTAACTTTACATTTTTGTCTATTTTCAATGAATTAGAATTTCTTCCTTTAAAGTTTTGTATTCCTCTATTGGTGGTTTTCATGCCTTCAGGGAATTTGTTAGGAACTTTCTATTGTCATAGTAGCTGTTTTACAACATTGAGTTGTTTTCATTTTCTTGATTAGTTCTCTGAGTCGATGTCACTAGAAAAGGCTTAAGTCCAGCTATATAGTTAAATTGTACTAGGTATTTTTTCTTATGGTTGAGGCAGAAGTTGATGTACAAATTTTGAAATGGAGAAATATTATTTACAGCTTTTTCAATGTTTTGCATACTCTTACTCTAATAGAACAAATGAAATTCTTTATATCCCATTAAAGTTATATTGGGTAGAATGAAAATACACCTGCCATATCAACAGAATATCTAAATTTTTCAAAAACAGCGGGAAGAGAAAATATAATTCAAGGCTTGGAATGGAATGTGTGGAAAAGTGGCAGTAGGGTAGGCCTGCTATTTTCCTGAGCTGAGTTTGCTAATCTTAGATATCAGGACTAAATAAGATACAGCTGTGGATTGTAATTTCTTGAAAGCAGTGTATCACTGTTTAAAACTAACTTTAATCCTTGCAGACCAGTAATGGAGGAGGGAGTTTAAGTGATTATTCCTCCTCTGTCCCATCAACTCCAAGCACCAGCCAGAAGGAGCTACGGATTGATGTTCCTCCCACTGCCAACACACCAACACCTGTCCGTAAACAGTCCAAGCGCCGATCCAACCTTTTCACGGTGAGTGAGCCAAGGAAGACAATGTTGCTGTGTTTTAAGTAGTACTCAGTGATGACGGACTGACCTTCTTCCCTGCTAAGTTGCGCTGGTCTAATCTGCACAAAAGTGTTGAGATGGATCTGTAGGATTGAAAATGAAAACATCTTAGAATTACCAGTGGGGTTCTTCTGTTTGAGGACTTGAACAGAAACTAAATACAGTTCTTTTTACTGGGAACTTCACTGAAACAAATGAATTTGTGGTTGAATTCTGGAGCCTTGGACCTGAATTCGTAATGAGAAAGCTGGGCTTCTGCTCCCAGAACTGGACCTTATGCTAAAGAATACAGCTATCCTGAGCTGCCTTAAGGAAGTATCTGCTGTTTATAGAGAGGTGTAAGTCAGAGTTTGCTGGGGACATTCCATGCAGTACTGAAAAGGTAGCTACTCCTTGTTAGTTTTATTACTCTACAGTGTCAGTTCACTTTCCTTTTCCAGGCCTAAAAGATGCGATGGAGATTAGAATGACTTGTTTCTTCCCAAACCGTCTGGTTTTGGCTTCACTGAGAAACAAGAGAACATACTAAATAGCTTGGCTGGCCCACCACGACATGTTATGCACACGTAGTTTGGAAAGTGTTAATAAACGTTTGAGTGATGATTTCCTTATTTTAGCAGTCTAACAGAAAGCTTTGTGATGGTATTGCGTGTATAGCTGTGGTGTTGTAAGCAGTTTTTTGGCACTAATTTAACACGCTTATGACAAACATAGAATTCCTTTGGGCTTGCATGTATGATCTTTGGCAACCGTAGCTACATGTTAGGCACACTTAGAAAGCCGCATCTTCTTTATCATTATAAGAAAAATGTTATCTTGTATTCCAAAGATGAGGTCATGTTCACTTCCCAGAGGTAGCTCACTCCTTGGTTGTATCCAGGAAACCATTTACAAAACTCAGACCATTTTCTCATAACCTAAACAAAATTTCATAATAAATAAGTTTGTCATGGCTTTGAGTTTTGGGTGAAAGTACAGCATTCCACAGAGATCATGTTTCATCTCTCCATCTTGTAAACGGTATTTTGATTAAAAATTGTTACTCTTAGAACGCCCACAAAGTAATTAAAATGTGTTTGTCTTCAGTTTTAAACACCAAAACATGCAAAAATGAGTGATATCCGAAAACACGTCAGGATTTGGCACTGATGCTTCGTAGTGGTTGTGTAGATTTTTGTTTTTTCTCCCTATTTCTGGGAATACTTGTCCCTGTTTGGGAATACTTGTGGGTTATTAACTCCACTAGATGTCAGTGTCATCCTAGAAACTGAAAGCAGAGCAATAAATTTGGAAATGGTCGGAACTGAGAGCTGCCACAGTTTCTGTCAAAAGCATTTGCCAACCGTTTCTTAAGTATGCATAAAATGCTATGAGGGTTGTTTAGATGTAGTTGACATTTGGAAAAATGGGGATGTTTTGAAATGGAGTAGGTATAAATTTGGGAAAGCGAGTGAAGAGAAACGTGCATACCCCCAACCGAGGAAAAGGTTCGAAAAGACTTTTAAGGCAGCTGTGTCTGCTATAAACAAATAGACTAAAGCTCTGGTTTGCAATAATTAATAGCTTAGAGTGAGAACCGAACGTGCTAATATGAGAAAACGTTGACAGTTGTCTTCATGTCTAATATCTGGGGAAAAAATGGGGGGAAAAATTAAGTGCTGTGGTTAGAAGCAAAATACTTTTTGGCTTTTATGAATTAATTCTGTCTGTTAAGATCTGGGCATATTGACCGTTTAATAAGTTGCCATGTAATACATGTGCTGAAGTGTTTAGCACTGGCTCTGCTGCAACACAGATTTCATGCCGTATCAGCCAGGTTGTAACCTGGAGTTATGCAACTGAACCAATAGATGATCTGTACTTCGGGTTACGTGTAGTTATGAACAGAGATAGAAGTTGAAAATATTTTGTGTAGCCCTAGGTTTTTTGCTGTGCTTGTTCCTAAACTGTTGCTTGCATCCATCACTTAAATTTGTGTTTTGATTGTAAATTGATCCTTGTTAGCTAGAAAAGGGGGTATGTTTAGTTTCCCCCTTGAAGGTCTTCTAGTGTTGGAAGAAAATCGGGTTAAGTAGGAAATAGTTCTGATTGTCTTAAATCTGTCACAGTGTTTGAGTTGGAATAAGGTTGGGAATTTTAAGCATTTAAGTGCATTATAGGCAGTATCTGATCTTTATGATTTCAGCGGATATGAATGTTTTCTGTCAAGTAATTGTTGCCATAGCTGACTTTCTAATATGGTGATAACACAGATCAACAAATAAAGCAGGACGGCCAATGTCCTGTGTTTTATGCCCGGTATTATCAGGGAGAACTAAATAACAGCATATAGCAGAGATGAGGATTCAAGATGCAAATGAGGTAAACTTCAATAAAGAACTAATTGTAAGTACTTACCCAATTACATATGGGGTGGATGAACTTCTGGCACAGTAAGATGCATCTCCTATCTTATATTCAATATTACTTATCTTACGTGATTTTAAAATTGGGTGAATGTCTTGTTTTGTTAAAATGACCCCTCTATCTCTAGTATCTTCTATCTCAGGATGTGTTATTAGAGGTGGTGTTTTTTACCTTTGGGTTGTGTGAACTGTTGGTACCCAGTTCTGGTCATGCCCAAATTCTCCTGTTCACCTATGAAAGGTGCTGTTGTCTGCAATTTGTTTTGGTAAACAGTAGAGCCCAACTGAATTTTCTCCTTGAAAAATTTATGTATTCCATGATTACAAGCAGCTATAACGATTTACCTCACAAATCCCTGGGTTTCTATGCTCTCAGCACTTGGCAATGTTTTATATATAGCTATTTCCTTTCTGTGTGCAATGAATTATTTCCTGATGCAATTATTTTTTAGGAATGGAAGATAAGTGTTTTTTTTTTTTTTAATCAGCTCATAGATATTTAGTTTGCTTTTCAGAGACAGGATCCTTTCTTTAAAAAAAAAAAAAAAAGTCAAATAAAAAGAAACATTCAAGTTGGCAACTTCCCTCCCAAGGAGTTGGCTACCTTCACTGAGCTTCTTTAAAATCTGTCACTTACGGACGCTTCGCCCTATTGAAGCATTGTTTTGCGTTTTATTATTGGGAGGTGGCACTTTTGGATTCAGAAATCTGTCTTGAAGGAAGAGGAACAATAGTTATCTTGAACGTTGGATTTCATCCCTCCCACTTGTTTTGCTTTCTTTCATTTATTCTTTGTTTAATTCCCTGGCATGTCATTCCATTGCCCCTAACCATAGTAACTAGTGATAGGAGCCTACTCCCGGCAGAGCCGGGAAAAGCGCAGGTTCCCCACTGGGTAAATGTGTTGCTCAGAATGGTGTTACTTGAAGTCTTCCTCTGTGGGTTTTTTCCCCTCCCCTTCCCTCCTCTCGCCTCCTAAGGCAACTGCTCTGGGCAATTTTATTCCTGCCATCCCTTTGCCTGGTATAATCTGAAAAGTGTAAAGAGCTGTGATTTTAATCTTGCTCCTAATTTCAGTGTCTTTCAAAGATCTCTTTAAGCTGCACTGAAACTCAAAAGCAGGGTCTGGTATTGCTCTGGTTTTCATTAGCTTTCCCATTGTGGTGCTGGACATCACAAATGTATTCGTTTCATATATCATCTGGCATTTGAAAAGCACCTGAAAATGCTTCCCCGTTTTCAATATTGTGTGAGTAATGTTCCTATTGAAAAGTAATGGAGTGAAGTTGTCACTTGTCAGTTCAGTTATTAAGGAGGATGACTCTCAGATCCTTTTTTTCATAATAAAATAAATCTGTCAAAATCACTACACTCATGCATTCTTTCCCAATAATGGACCAGAATCTAAACATCATCTTGAAATTCCTGTGTAACTTTATAAGGCCGTGAAGTATGCCCTGCAAGCCCCTGCTCCTAAGGCAGCTCTAGCTTTAGAGGATGCCAAGTGGAGGCAATTGAGTTTTTAGACATTGATTGAATTTTCCATATGCTGTTTTTTTGTTATGTTCGGATAACTTTTCTTCAGCGTCAGTCACTCCCCAGTTCTTGAAGTTCCAGCTTTCTAATCATCCAAAAGTATTTTTAAAAAAAAAAAAAAAAAAAGTTAATATGACTGTGATCAAGACAGCATCATCAAAACACATCTGATATGAGACAGACCATAACTGATTATATACATGCACATGTCAGGTTTTCTTAGTGAGAAGCTGGCACCTTCTTTCTTTTTTGGACCCGCTGTGAGAGACTTCAGAAACGTGTGCTCTGATCTGTTGGGTCTTTGGGCAGCGAAACTGTTACTCTTTAAAAATAAATGCCGTTTTGAACAAGTGGACGGTGAAAGGCTAGAGCTGGTATTTTAAAATTCCCGTTTTGGGATAGTTGTGTACTTATGTAGAATCCTCTCATCCTTCCTGGAGTCTATACTGCTATGTCAGAATAATTCTTTTTAATTGCTAAAGGGGGAAAAAAAACAGGCATCCTCTATGTGAACTGCCACATTTAACGGGGCACAAACTTTCTTTTTGCTCTGCAGTCTCGGAAAGGGAGTGACCCAGACAAAGAGAAGAAGGTCCTGGAGAGCAGAACAGATAGCATTGGAAGCGGTCGTGCAATCCCAATTAAACAGGTATGCCGAAATTTTTTTTCCTTTCTTTTTTTTATATTTTTTGCGTTCCGTAGTCGGAGGCGCACCTCGGGTCGTAAGCCTGCCGATGCTGGGCCTTGTGCGCCAGGATTTGTTTGATGTGCTCCGGTGATGAATGTGGAAGTCGCTCACTTGACATCAATTAGGAGAGGTTCCTATGTGTATTAAAATAGGATCATTAGAATAAGAAGAGGGAAAATGTGACAACAGGCCTAATGAAGTGCAGTCTGCCGGCCTGCATATGGAGCGCGTTTCTAGGCTGTGCTGGCTTCAAAGCCTGCCTTTGTAGAGCGGGCTTTGATTGGGCCGTTTGCTGCCAGTCGACAGGGGTAAATCAGATCGCTGTACAAGAGCCCCTTGTGATCGCAGAAATAGCCTGATGTGGCCCTAATTTGCTACCGCAGACGGACATCTGAACACAGTTTCAGGCTGGTTTGTAACAACGAGGCAATTAGTTGTGATAATCATAGCCGGTGTGTCAGCTGTGCGCTCTTGTTTGTAATTTGCTAATGAAGGGATTGTAACTTTGATTAGGTTCAGTTTCATTTAGACCTTATTATATAAGAGAACATTTACAGCTGTAATGTGTGGCCTTAATTAAACTTCCTCATTACACAACAGGACTTGAATTCAAGGATTTGTTTTGGTCTGTTTTACTAGCCGCAATGCACTTTCATTAGCCCGGATACTGGATGCTAAATTGTTGTCGCGAATGCTCCTTTGTAAGGCAAAAGCAAGATTGGGATCTAATGCCAAGTGTTTGGGTAAATGAGATGTGATTTACTTTTTCCAATTAAGTTATACCGAATTTGTGCACTGAAGAGCCCTGGGCTGAGCATTTGTATGGGATGCTTCACAAATAGCCTCCATCCACAGTGTTTGCAAGCGTTTGCTTTCCTGTGAGTTACTGTAGAGAGCATGAACGCCAGGTGAAAGGAGCTTTTTTTTTTTTTTTTTTTTTTTTTTTTTTTTTTTTCCCCAAGAGAGTTTTTTATTTTTTTTTTTTTTAATCACATGAGAGTTTCAACTGTCTTTTGGCTGCTTTTGTACCCTCCGGTGGGTCGCTTGCTGCTTCCTTGGTTGCTTTTCCAAATCTTTCCGCGGTCCCTGCCTCATCTTGTCAGGTAGCCCTGGTTCTTCTGCTATGGGGTTGGGTTTTTGGGTTGGAGGTTTTCTTCTTTTTCTGGGGGGAGGGAGACCAGAGGTGGAGGAGATGCCTCTGAACTCTTAGTTACTTGTCGTGATTTTCTTAAACGCAGATAAAAAGACTTTTTTGGCCCCATCAGATAGCCACGCTGCTATCCTCTCTGTGAATCTGCAGTAGACAAATTTTAATCAAATGCACTGTGGTTCAGACTAGCAGTTTGAACCCAGCTGAGCAATATATTTGGCGCTGTGTTCAGGGGAGGAGATTCCAGGCTTTCAAAACAAGCTGCAGTTTCTTTCTCCAGCTTTTCTGTGGTATGAGATGGATTAGACTGGCTAGAATTTGGGGGTGATGCTAATTAAACAAAAGTGCCCGTGAACGTAAACATAAGTGGAAAAACTGAGGAATAAACTCTTCAGTATTGATTCGAAGTATACGTACTGTTCTCTTCTAGAACTCCGTTGTATGAAATGAATTTGATTAAAAACGCACTTGTAGCAAGCCTATCTTACAATACCTCTCCTAAGTGTAAATGTCTTCTGCCAGGTTGGAATAAAATACCCCCTACAATCATCCGAAATACCTACATTGAAAAATTCTCCTGCTCTCCCTTACTTTGCGTACTGCAGAATATATGTAGTATACTTGCATCTGTTCTGCTGAGTAAGATCAGTCTTTTGGGAATGTTTACTTTTATTATTAATCCCAATTGTGGAAATTTCATTCTGCTGAGTATAAACAATCCTCAACAAATATTTGAGGTTTTCAATCAGCAGATGTATCCTATTAGTCGGGGTGCTGGGAGAGGGGAGGTTGAGTGGCCTGCAATTTTGTAGCCTGGCTCCTCTCAGTAGTGCTTTGCACCATACTCTGGCATGAAGACCTCATAGTTTTTCTAGTTCATAGATGGTTTTCAGTGAAGATCAGAAGACCATCATCATCTAGCAGTTCAAACAAGATGCAATAGAAAAAGGACTGTGTTCAGCTGAGAAAAGACACTTCATAAAATAGAGCAAATAACTTATATTTAATGCTTCTGGCACAGGATAGACTGTTTGATGTGCTGAAGCATCTTTTTTTTTTCCCCCCCCCCCCCCTTCCCTGGAAATTAATGAATGCTAGGAAGGAGGCAGAAGGGAACATGGTATTATCCACTAGTCTGCAAGAGGTTTATGGTTTGAAAAATCATAACCCTAGTTTATAGCAGTGAATTCTTACATAATTCTCCTGTAACCACTTGCTTAAGGGATGTGGGAGAGGAGAGATATTTATGCTTAGATGTTCCTTTTCTTGTTTTTTTTTAAATATGTTCTCAACTGGCTGCTTCTTTGACCTGCTCACCTACTTCAGTTATTTTTCCTGTCGTAAAATGGAAGCGGCATTTATGGTTTTTTTTTTGTTTTTTTGGTTTTGACTGGAAACATTTAATTTCAAACAGAAATGTCATGTGTATTCATACTGAGAATGTTTCTCTACAGTGTTTCATACTGAGAATGTTTCTCATACTGAGAATGTTTTCTCTAAAAAATATATATTAGTTTGAAGCGTTCTTCGATTGCCAGCAGTATTGTTTCAAGCCGTCATCTATCTTTCACGGTGGGAAAAGGTGCCTGACCATGGACCGGGGAAAGCTAGTGATCTGCCAGACTGTGTTTAGGGCAGCTCCTACCAGCAGATCTTTGGCTCTGGTGGCATTGCATTAAATTGCCAACGTGCCTGTATTCTTGATGGGTAGAAAAGATGGTGTCTTTTTGCATTTTAAGCATTTACTGCAAATAAGACAGATGAGAGGAGGAAGTTTCTGACCTAAAAATTTTAATAATCTGTCACGCTACTATGCTTGTGGGGGCAGTATTTATTTCAATAGCAAACCCCTTCCATCTGGATTTGTTTCAGTGGCAAATAAATGGTCAGTGGCCAGAAAGAGAAATGCATTTTTCAGAAAGTTCAGTGCAGATTGCAGTTTGCGGTCTTGCTGAGGAAGAACCATCTTATGATTTTGTCTAAAGACTTCTTTCTTCTTCTTAGCTTTTTGCCCCCCTGTTTTCCAATGCTTGTCCTCCTATTAGCCCAAAAGTCACCTTGCTGTGCTACCCTGTGCTGGAACCATGAGTAACCTCCAGGACTGGGAAAGGTCCTGTGACGGCAGGATCATTCTTAAGCCGCTACTGAGTGTAATGCCTTTGCCAGCTTCATGCACGTACTCTTTTATTATGCCTTCGGGACGTCTTTAAAAGCATGTAGTGACTCGGCCTTTTTAATATCTGTTGTCAGTACTTTCTTTGATTCTTTGTAGATTCTTTGCCATGCGTATCACAGCAGTGCTGTTTAAGAACTGCTGGCAAGACTATGCTTCTGGCGCAAGGCAAAAGAGACCTTTTCTTGCATAAATTCAAGCTCGTAGTTGCAGATCAGTGCGTCAGTGGTATTGTGCAATGAAGCTTATGAGCCGGTTTACTGGGGCAGGAGGGGAAAGAAAACCAGCCATTGGAAAGTTAGGGTTGAAACTCTAATATGGTGAATGTGGGGTCCTCAGTTCACTTTACGCCAAACGCTGTTTGAAAAACGTGATTAAAAAAATCTGATATGGACAAATAAAAAGTCGCAGCGTTCAGCTGTTGAAACCACTGGTTTGGCTCCCTGTGCTGTCCAGAGGTGGTTCTTATCCCCCTGAGGTCTGCCAAAAAAATCAGCAATGGTATTTCTCAGTGTAAAAATCTGTTAATTGGAGATTGGAAAGACAAGAGGCAACGGGCAGAAACTGAAACACAGGAAGTTCTGTCTGAACATGAGGAAGAGCTTCTTTCCTGTGAGGGTGACTGAGCCCTGGAAGAGGTTGCCCAGGGAGGTAGTGGAGTCTCCTTGGCTGGAGATATTCAAAACCCGTCTGGATGTGATCCTGGGCAATATGCTCTAGAGGCCCCTGCTTGAGCAGGGAGGTTGGACTAGATGATCTCCAGAGGTCCCTTCCAACCTCAACCGTTCTGTGATTCTGTGGAAATGTCCTTTTTTGGCGAAAGAGTATGAGATCTCTTCCGACGTTAGAGGGTATACTAAGGGGGGAAGGTAGAGCTGATACTAGTCAGGTATGTTTGTGCATGGTGGGGAGGGAGCACAGAATAACTCTTCAAAAGATCCACTTTCTAGGAAGTCTGGAAAGCACGAGGAGATGAGTGACGGACCTAAACTCCTCATCAACGACAGTGTTTCATAGATCAGGTCTGTATTGCTGCTGTCGAGCCACTCTAGCTGTGGTGATGTATTGCATCCAAGTGACTTTTTTTTGTGTCTGTTTAAAAATTTGTGTATATTTATGGGTATTTTAAACTCGTAGAGGGAGAAACCCAGAACACAAGCAGTGACAACTAAGTATATTTTTAACATGTATTAATATACATATATTGCATATAATAATTAACATTATTGTACAGCCGAACTGTGTAACCTTGATTGTTCTTTTACCCAAAATTGTAATGCCGGAGCTTTGGTCAAAATAGCTGTTGAGGGGATACCTGAAGCCTTTGCTTACGCTGGGAAAGGCTGCACATCTTGTGCGCCCGAATTCCTGCACATCTGTGCTAACTTTTGCCAAAACCTGCTAAGGTGAGTGAAATTTCAAGATGATTATTTTCTCAGGGCAGTAAAAAATCCATTATAAATGGAGAAGCTAGCTTTCCACGTACTGTTTAGGTGTATCAGCATGCCTTAAAATTCTGTGCTTTCAGTATCTTTGGGTAATTGCGAATGCTGTCGTTTTCCAAAAAGAAAAAAAAAATGCCTCCTAAAATGCTAAGATTCAAGTTTTGGGAGGTTTTATAAGAGACTGTGCAGAGAT